ATCGCGGGCCTGCGACTCCGGATCCGGTCCCAGCCCGCCAGCCCCTCTTCGCGGTGCTCGTGAATTGGGGTGCATTCTGTTCACTGAATTGGAGTGGGGGGGAGCTAAGGGGACCTAGGGTCGGCGCTTCTGGGGGAATGTGATGGGTGGGGGAGAGACTGTCCGGAGCGGGGGTCTCCGGGAGACACAATGCGGAGGGCGGGGGTACCCAGGCTTGGCGCCGCCAACCCCCTCCCGACTTGTTTTTCTCCCTCCTGGTCCTCGAGGCGCTGCTGTCTGAGCCATTGTCTACAGAAGACACCCGCCCAGGGGCGGGCTGGGGCGGGCACTGGTTCCGCAGCCCCCCGCAGGTTCCTCACTTTAGACCCCGGCTGGGTGGGGGCGCTGGCATCGACTGCCACCCTGGGCCCGGACGGGGGCTGGGCGCCTAGAGCTGAGCTTGAAGGGGGGAGGGGAAAAGGGGGAGTGGGTGAGGCTGTGGGCGGGATCAACTGCTCAAATGGGGTTCTTCGCCCAGGGAGCCTGACAGCTTCCAGCCGGCCCCCCAGGTTTAGAATTTGGGGTGCACAAATAAGAGCTGATTTTCCCATGATGAACGTGAGGCTGTAGTTGGTGGGCTCTGAGAAAAGGAGTACATTGTGATTCTCAACTCAAGGCGCATGGCTGGGCTGTGGTCGCGGAGCCATGCTGAGTGCCAGCTGGGAAGGCAGGTGCCTGGGTCTCCATCCAGCCCGCGTCCTGCCACTCCTGTCCTCTTCCCGCTCCCAGATCACCCCCTCCTCACCTCACCTCTCCTTCCCAATGGAAGAGACCCTCCCAGCGCCTTACCCAGCCAAGGTGGGTGTGTGAGGTGGGGGTGGGGCCGGCTCCTGCAGCGGGAGAGACTAGGACTCCACACCGATGCCTGGGTGCTTCGGTCTCCATCCACCCCAGCCCTGCGCCCACCTTCCAGCCTCCTGCGCCATCACCCCATACTGCACTTGCCTCCTCTGTCTGATGGCCCTATCTCTGCCTGAAACCATCTTCTCTGCTCCTCAACCCCCCCCACCACCACCACCTTCAAGAAGCTAACAGGAAAGGCAGGGTGGGGGGTCTGGTTGAGGGAAGTGGGATCCGGATGAAGGGAGGAGGTCACATTTCCTACTGGAACGAGGCAGGGCTGAAGCTGAGAAGCAGACATTGTATGGAATGTTTGGCTTTGAGGAATGGGGAAGGATCTCCTTCTGCCTCAGTCTCCCCTGATTTCCCAGGGAGGACAGGAGGCTTTGCCAAGTAGAAGGAGTTCCTAGTTTCTTAGAAAGTCCCTCTGTCAAGGCCCTGCACCCCAGGGGAGACAGCCCAGGGAATTGGTGGAAATAGAGACTAGCTAGGGGGTTCTCAGGCAGCTGGCTGGGAGCCCAGGCTGAGGGAGGGAATCTGCTCCACATCTGCCCCACCCTCAGCTTGGCACTGATATCTCCTCAGGCTTTACCTGCCCACCCGATTTTGTGTCCCCAGTCCCCTCACCTCTTCTGAGACTCTTGAGCCCTTGAGCCCAAGGCATTCCTTCAAGTGACCATTTTTGGTCCCTTATTCCCAGCTGCTCTGTCCAGCTGCTCCCAGCCAGGATAGTAGCCAGGCCCTTCTAGCTTCTCAGAATTCCTACTGTGTGTTGGGGGAGACCAGAGTGGGCTGAGTGTGTGCCCCACCCTACAGGGTTGTGTTCTGGCCTGGGAGGGGAGAGGGAGGTGGGCTCTGGTGAACAGCTGGATGGGATGCCACCAGCAGGCGTGGTCCTGGCCCTGGACTGGAAGCCTGAGATAAAACACCTGTCACTGTTGAGTGTCAGGCTCCACGTGTAAGGCCTTCGTGAAGGGAAGCAGATAGGGTAGATGGGCTGTGGATCCAAGAGCCTGCCTGAGAATCCATGGGAAAACTCGGGTCCCCTCATGCCAGTGGAGTTTAGGATCTCTGCAGGCCAGCCCAGCCCAGCCTGGCTATTCTGGGACTTGGGGCAGAGGCAGCCCTGGAAACCAGAAGAAGGTCTTTCCATCCCAGTTCCCTGCCTGTCAGTTTTCTTTGAGTCTGGTGGGCCCTCCAGATTGCCTTCCCCTTGCTAGGGCCCCAGCTCCCTGCCTGATCTCCTGGGAGGAATGAGGGCGTTGCCATGGTGACTGACTGTCACTGACCAGCTATAGACATGAAGGGGAGGGGTCAGGAGATACTTGTTCAGGCTTAGGGGTTAGAGTGTATCCCTAAATTTGAAGGAAAAGAGACTTGTGCAAAGGTTTCTGGGAAGGAGGGGAATGATGGGAATGTCCAATTCCTTAGTGTCCCCTTCTCAATTTTTCTTCCTTGAGAACTCAAATTCCAACCCAGCTTTCATCCTCCCTTTCTTTTTTCTTTTTGGTATTGGGGAGTGAATCCAGGGGCACTTAACTATTGAGCCATATCCCCAGCCTTCTTTTGTATTTTATTTAGAGACAGGGCCTCACTGAGTTACTTAAGACCTCTCTAAGTTGCTGAGGCTGGCTTTGAAAATGCAATCCTCCTGCCTCAGCCTCCTGAGCCACTGGGATTACAGGTGTGGGCCACCACACTGGTCCCCATCCTCCCTTTCAAACTTGACCTCATCTATCTCTATCTATAGGCCCCTCCTCCTTGAATTCATCCTTTCTCAGCACTCATTTTTCTTCCTGTCCTCAGACACTGGTCTCCTAGGATCAAATAGCTAAGAATTTATGTCCTAGTGATGACTACCAGGTTTGGATCCCAGATTTCTCAACTGTAGTCTATATATCTAAACTCTTTGAGTCTTAGTTTAGCTGTAAAATGGGGAAAGGGCATATTTTATCAAATTTAACACATCATTGACTGTAAGATGCATCATTATTTTGCACTGGGCACTTGCCTGTAATCCCAGCAACTTTAGAGCCTGAAGCAGGAGAATCACAAGTTCCAGGCCTACTCCAGTAACTTAGCAAGACAATTTCTCAAAATAAAATGTTAAAATGGCAGGGAGATATAGCGCAGTGGCAGAGCAACGCTGGGTTCAATTCCCAGTACTGGAAAAAAAAAAAAAAAGAAAAAATGCTATCAATTTTAATGATGACATCATCAATCACAGATAAAACTCAAGTTCAGAAATATTAAAATGTGAAAGGCTGCATGGGTTAGACTTGATGAAATACAGTAATAGCACCACCTACTTCTCAGACTTCATTTAGGCTTAAATAATAGCACTCCATACTTGCTGGCTGTGGCTCAGTGTACTTCTTGCCTGGTGTGCAAGGGAAGCCCTGAGTTCCATCCCCAGAACTACAAAAGTAAATAAATACTGGCTTTCATTATAATACTGGTCTGGCATCAGCCCCGTAATCCCCCATAACCAGCAGCCCATTCTTTTGATCTTGAGGCTTCCCCTAGCTCTCATCCTCCCTCTCGGCTCCTCACTCCCCTCACCCCATCTTGCCCACAGAGATCCTGATCAAGGTGCAGGTGTATGTGAGCGGGGAGCTGGTGCCCCTAGCCCGGGCCTCCGTGGATGTGTTTGGGAACCGGACCTTGCTGGCTGCCGGCACCACAGACTCAGAGGGCGTGGCCACATTACCTCTCAGTTACCGCTTGGGCACCTGGGTACTGGTCACTGCTGCCCGCCCTGGCTTCCTCACCAACTCTGTGCCCTGGCGTGTTGACAAGCTGCCCTGTGAGTGGAGGGGCAGGTGGAGTTGGGAGGGGGGCAGCAGCTGATCCTCCATCAGCCCCTTCCCAAAATAGTCCTCGGGGGTGGAGGGGACAGGCTTTCCAGCAGCTGCTCCCTGGGCTGGGGTATGCAGAATGGGGTGAGGGAGGATGAAACCACTGGGATTTGGGTGTGTGTGGGTGCCTGGAAGGGGGTGTGTGTTTTTCTGGAGCTCATGGGCCACCCCTCTTGCAGTGTATGCATCTGTCAGCCTCTACCTGCTCCCCGAGCGGCCAGCCACCCTCATCCTCTATGAGGACCTTGTGCACATCCTCCTAGGCTCTCCTGGTAAGCCCCACCCTTCCATCCCACACCAACTCCACTTCTTTCCCCCTGACCTGTGTGCAAAAAAACTTTCCTTGAACACATATAAGCTGGGTGCACTTGGGCAAATCACCCAAACCTCTCTAAGCCGTTCTTTGTTCATGTGTAATATGTGGAAGCATAATGTCTTAATCAAATTGAGGCAAGGAGTAAGTAACATCAATTGTGCTGAATCCAGTGACTCAAGCCTGTAATCCCAGTGACTCTGGAGGCTGAAGCAGGAGAATAGTAAGTTCAAGGCCTGCCTCAGCCTGGTGAGATCCTGTTTCAAAATAAAAATTAAAAAGGGCTGGTGATGTAGCTCAGTGGTAGAGCACACCTGGATTTAATCCCTAGTACCAAAGAAATAAATACATTAAGTATGCAAAAAAAAAAAACCACAGAAGGTATTCAATAAATGTTTATAGTCTGCTGGGCTTCTCGTGGTTTCTATTCTCTCTCTACTCCTACTTCCCTGCCACCTTTATTATCATGTATTTTTGCACTTACTGGGTGTCTGGCTGTGAGGAGGCCATGAGAGGGTCCTTCCACAGGTATTGACCACCGATCAAGTGCAAGGCCTGGAGCTATCCTGAAGTGGTCCTTGTCTACCCACAGGCTTTCAATCTCACTCACTTAAATACTTCAGCATCTGCACTGTGTCAGGCATGGTGGCTGGTGCAGGGGCACAATGGTAAAAAAAAAAAAAAAAAAAAAAAAAAAAAAAAAAACATTAAAACGTCACAGACAAGTAGAAAGACAAACCTCATTACAAACCTTGGAATGGTTGCAGAACTAGTAGGGCAGTAGAGAGAGACAGCTGGATTCAGAGATGACCCTAACCTGCATAGAGCCAAGTGGACCAGAGCACTCGGTGGGCTCAGGAGTAGAAAGCAAGGAGAGACACTTGCTGAGTGTAAGACCTGGCCAAGTCATCAGGGTGATGTGGCAGAAGGGCAGAGTGAGGGTTTGGAAAAGGTTCTGGCCTGGCCATGCTGAGGGTAGATTCCATCCAGCTACCACTAGAGAGCAACAGTGGGTTTGGGAGTGGGAGAAGACCCTCCCCAGTTAAAATTCTTAGCTTGCACTCTTGTTGGCAAATTATTCTTGGCTATCGTATTCACTCTGACCCTGCACCAGAGGCTTCTAAATGCCCCCTGGAGGTTTCTAAAATGCCAGATGGACCTTGCTGCCCAGAGCTACAGCTCTCCCATAGTGCTCATTGCTTTTAGCAGAAGCCCAGACCCTTCCCAGAGCTGGCAGCACCCACCAGAACAGGCAGCCACTGCCTCAGGCTGTGGAGCTTTCTCCTGCCAGTCCTCCTGGAAGTCCTTTCCCACTTTCCTGGCAGAGTCTCACTTGTCCTACAAGACTCCATTCCATGCCTTCCCAGTGCTGGGCTGGTCAGACGCCCCCAGCAGTTAATAAAGAGGCAGGATGGAGTGGGGGTGAGAGGGTGGGTCCTGGTGCCAGAGCTGAGGCATCATTCTGGGATCATGGATGGTGACTTAGAGTAAGTTATCAAACTTCTGCCTCCATTGCGTATCTATGAAATAGAATTGATAATAAAGGCAACCTATCTCAGGGGCTGTTATGCTAATTACAGGGATTACTATAGTATCCAGCTTAGAACAGTGCCCAGTATATTTTAAAGCTTAATAAATGTTATCTATAACCATACAGTATTGGAATTCTGTTTATGTCTATTCCCTTCACCCCAACAGACACACACACACACACACACACACCTGTCTAATGAAGTAGCTACTATCTGTGTCTATTTAAATTGAAATAACCAAAATTAAAAATTCCTCAAATCCTTACAAATTAAAAATAGATCCACTTCCTCAGTTACATTAACCACATTTCAAATGCTTAATAGCCATGTGCGTCTAGTGGGTATAGTAATGGTCATCACCATCATTCATCATGGTAGAAAGTTCCAATGGTACCTAAAGGACAGTACTATACTAGACTGTGAACCTGAAGGCAGGGAAGCTGGCCACATTCATCTTTGCATTCCAGGAACTGGCCTGGTACCTGCCATACAGGAGACATTAATTCCCTGAGGACATCATTTTAAATGTCATCATTTTATTGGTTTATAAGGAAACAGTGTTTCAAGGACAGCAAGTAACTTGCTGAGGGTCACATAGACAGGATTGGAGGTTTCAGGTCCACATCTCTTCCAGGCTAACATTTGGACTGCCCAATTCTCTCCAAGTCATCCCTGGCCTTCCCAATTGGCCCGACCCCACGGCCCCCTTCTTAGATATTTGCTTTTTGCCCTGGTCCCTGGCTAGGCCACTGCAGTCCCTCTCTCCATCCAGGAGCCCGATCCCAGCCCTGGGTGCAGTTCCAGCGCCGGGCTGCCCGCCTGCCTGTCAGCTCCACCTACAGCCAGCTCTGGGCCTCGCTCACACCTGCCAGCACCCAGCAGGAAATGCGGGCTTTCCCTGCCTTCCTGGGCACCGAGGCCTCCAGCTCAGGTATGCTAGGTACCTGGTATAGCAGGGACTCCCTCCCCTCCCCAGGAGTTAGACCTCAGTCCTGTGTCCTCTTCCCTTAGGCAATGGCTCCTGGCTGGAGCTGATGCCCCTGGCTGCTGTGAGTGTGCACCTGCTGACAGGCAATGGGACAGAGGTGCCGCTCTCAGGTCCCATTCACCTGTCCCTGCCAGTGCCCTCAGAGCCTCGTGCCCTGGCTGTGGGCACCAGCATACCAGCTTGGAGGTTTGACCCCAAGAGTGGTAAGTGTCTCAGGGAGCTTCAGGTGCTGGAGTTTGGGGAAAGAAAATTGGACTTAGGTGGTGGTTGGTGGAGGGACATTGAGTTTGATGAGACCATGCCTCTCCCAGGACTGTGGGTACGAAATGGCACTGGTGTGATCAGGAAGGAAGGCCGGCAGCTCTACTGGACCTTCATCTCCCCCCAGTTGGGGTACTGGGTGGCTGCTATGGCCTCCCCCACGGCTGGTGAGAGTGGTGGGGCACTGGGGCAGGGGACAGTGGTGGAAGGGAAGGATGGAAGAGTGGACATTTTATGAAAGGCAGAAAGGGCATCCACATCTGAACACTAAGCCCCTGTCTGGCACAGGGCTGGTCACTATCACGTCAGGCATCCAGGATATTGGCACCTACCATACCATCTTCCTGCTGACCATCCTGGCAGCCCTGGCCCTGCTGGTGCTCATTCTGCTGTGTCTGCTCATCTACTATTGCCGGTGAGTGTATGGGGGACCTCCACCTCCTTTTATCTGAGGCCTGCTGTATGCCTGGTCTTGGGCTGGGCACTGGGGGCCCAAAGATGCACCAACAATTCTGATCCTTGCAGTGCCATCAGGAAAAAACTGCATGTGCAAAAGTAAAGACCAGAAAGTCTAGCAGCTTAAGAGGAGTGGGGGGACAAGTGGTAGGATCTGCAGGCCAGACCCCTCTAGAGACAATCTGTGGCTGCTCCTACCAACCCAGCTCTTATATCCAGGGTACTCCAGGCACACTCCTAGTTGGCTTAGGTGCCCTTCCAGGGTCTCAGGATGCAGTTTCCCAGATGGACCTCAGCTGCTGGATGGCCTCCCACTGCACCCTTAACCCTTCCACAACCTCTCTGAGGCCCTTTCCTGCCGACCCCCCATCTCTCCTGAACGCACCAGGCGCGAGCCCCAGTCCTCCAACTATCTTCACCCCTCGGTCTGCAACAGCATGGTTTAGGCAGCCACTCTGGCCCTCACCCTCGGCCTTTCCTGAGGGTCGCAGTCTCCCTCTCCAGGAGGCGATGCTTGAAGCCAAGGCAACAGCACCGCAAGCTGCAGCTCTCCGGACCTTCTGACGGTAACAAACGAGATCAGGCCACCTCGATGTCCCAGCTCCACCTCATCTGTGGAGGACCCCTGGAGCCCGCCTCGTCGGGGGACCCCGAGGCCCCACCTCCAGGACCCCTGCACTCGGCCTTCTCTAGCTCCAGGGACTTGGCCGCTTCCCGAGACGACTTCTTCCGTGCCAAGCCGCGCTCCGCCAGCCGCCCCGCCGCGGAGCCTCCGGGTGCCCGCGGGGGTGAGGGTGTCGGGCTTAAGGGCGCCCGCTCGGTCGAGGGGCCTGGCGGACTGGAGCCCGGCCTGGAGGAGTACCGGCGGGGGCCTGCGGGGGCCGCCGCCTTCCTGCACGAGCCGCCCTCGCCGCCGCCGCCTTTCGACCATTACCTGGGCCACAAGGGGGCGGCCGAAAGCAAGACCCCCGACTTCCTGCTCTCGCAGTCGGTGGACCAGCTGGCGCGGCCGCCGTCGCTCAGCCAGGCGGGGCAGCTCATTTTCTGTGGCTCCATTGACCATCTTAAGGACAATGTCTACCGCAACGTCATGCCCACCCTGGTGATCCCTGCACACTACGTGCGCCTCGGCGGCGAGGCTGGCGCCGCGGGAGTGGGCGATGAGCCCACCCCGCCAGAGGGCTCGGCCTCCGGCCCAGCGCGCCCTTTTCCCCAGCCCGACCCCCAGCGCCCGCTGATGCAGGGCCACTCGGGCGCGGGGGGCGAGGGCGGTGGTGGTGGCGGCGGCGAGGGCTGGGGGGGCGGGCGCTCGGCGCCCGTCAGCGGCTCCGTCACTATCCCGGTGCTGTTCAACGAGTCCACCATGGCGCAGCTCAACGGGGAGCTGCAGGCGCTGACCGAGAAGAAGCTGCTGGAACTGGGCGTGAAGCCTCATCCGCGCGCCTGGTTCGTGTCCCTGGATGGGCGCTCCAACTCACAGGTGCGCCACTCCTACATCGACCTGCAGGCGGGAGGCGGGGGCCGCAGCACCGACGCCAGCC